AAGAATCTAGGTTGCCTCTTCCTTGTGAGAATCTAACACCTGCTGATCCAAGGTAGAGCTGAGGTGGTGACACTAACACTGGGGAGCCACTGCGAATACTGCATTATGGTGAGTTGTATAATTATTTCATTATATAATATAACATCATAATAATAGAAATAAAATTTGCAATAAATGTAATGCATTTCTGCCATCCTAAAACCACTCCTTTACCCCAACCCCTTCGTCCGTGGAAAAATTGTCTTCCATGAAACCAGTCCTTAGTGCCAAAAATATTGGAAACTGCTCCTTTAAAACAATACAGAACTAGGACCAGCAGATGATATAATGGTTATATCCATGGACTTCCACATATTTGACTGTGGTTCAAGTCCTAGACCTGGTAATTTAAAGCTCATGCTGGGGATGTGTGACCACAATCCTAAGAGGTGAGTGGAGGAGATGGGATTGCAGTGTGGCCATCCCTTCTGGGGGTGATTTCTTGCGTTCTGTCTTTCTCTGTCTCTCTGGTAAGCACATGTGCCCTATAGCAAAAGTCTCTTAAAAAAAAAAAAAATTCAGAACTTGGCCAAGAAAACAGACCATCACTAAACTAAGATCTGTCATTCACTAAACTGATTTAGTTCACTTCTCTTTGCGTCTATTTTGTTTTCTATGAAAATTCTAACTGTAAAAATAACCTCAACATCTGAAAAATGGCAAAGATCAATAAGAGATTATAAAATACTGTGAGTTCTTGAAAAGAATTCTCTATGAATAGAACTTGGCAAGTAATTAGTCATTTCAGTACTATAAATGAAAGTGATCTGAATAATTTTTTAAAGATTAATTTTATCCATCATAATAATGATAATAATTATTATTATTAGGTGTTAAGGAGAAAGAGAGAAAGTGAGAAAGCAAGCCAGCAGGTCCAGGACTCGAACCATGCACCTTAACCACCACACCCCTGTTTGCCTCAGTCTGAATAATTTAAGTTTACTCTTTTTATATTTCTCTTCATTTACCATAACCATGAGATTCTTATCAATATGTAAAATATCATAAATTCTTTTTTGTTTAGTGATCATTTAATACATTTCTATACTGATACAGTATGAGAAGCAGAAACAAATTGCATTTTAAGAGAAAGAAATTTAAAGTCTCTTTTATAATGATTATTTATAGTTATCTCTAACTGAATCCACAGCTTTTGAAAAGATCATAAAATGAATAGTTGTATTTACCAGTTCTGTAGGCCTGGGACTATAGATTGTTTCAAGAAATTTTTCTTTTTTCTTTCTTTACTATATTTTTGACAGATTTTTGCTATAGGGCGCCTGCACTCACTGGTGAAACAGAGAAACAGAGAGATGGAAAACAAGAAATCATCCCCAGGTGTGATGGCCATGCCCCAATCCCTTCTCCTCCCACTCCTCTCAGGATTTTGGGCATGCACACACCCAATGTGAGCCTCCAGGTCCTGAACTTGAACCATAGTCACCCACTTGAGAGTTTTAACCACTTTGCCACCTGCTGGCTGTTTTTCCTACTTTTTTTTTTTTTTTTTTTTATTTTGCACGGGGGTATGTGTCCTACACAAAC